CTGATCTACTGTACATAGCTCTTATTCAGAAGCGACCTGGATATTACCCTTGATTTGAAGCTTTCGTGATTGCAGGAATCCATACTCTTTGGTTCTTTCGGTAAAGTCACGTAAAAAAGCATGATGCTTTCCCACCTGATGATGGACGTTTGTCTTGCTCCCGAAACGTCGTGATTTATTTAATTTTATACCTACGTGACTTTGCCGAAAGAACCAAAGAGTATGGATATTACCATTGACAGCTTTAACGAAGTGGCTCATCATCATGATCCTGTGGAAATGTACAGCAGTATCCAAATACTCCGAACGTGTGGTGTTGATTCCAAATCTGGGGAGGGAAAACTGGAGGACACCCAGAGAAATTTCCATGCGACCACGGGGAGAGAGACACGCAAACGCCACATTTACAGCAGGCGTCAGGGTTGGATCGAACCCATGACCTCCTGTATACCAGGTAAGGGAGTTAACATCTTGCTACCACCCTCCTCTCCCCCACCTTTTCTCATCTCTCTCCCCCTCCTCTCTCTCTTCAGAGGTATCTGATCAAGAGAATCCCCTGCACGGTGAACCTCTACCAAGGGGTTATCTCTGAACTCCGTGACCCCCAGCGGTCGGAGCTGAGACCCTGGTTCTATCAGAAGTGTACGGAGCTGGGCTTCCGTGAGTATCGCACCGTGGAGATGCAAGTAGATAGCTGTAGACAGAGATATACATAGCTGCATAGAGATACACAGAGATAGAGTAACATGAAAATAGCGAAAGACACTATGCAGGTGTACAGTTGAGTCTCGATTATCCTCGTTAATGACGGGAAAGATGGCCGGGGATAATTCAAAATCGCGAATAATAAAAAAAATATATATACACATTCCCACGGATCTCTCTATGCTAAAACCACTAAGATAGGTATTCATTATTTTTAAGTAAAAAAAATGAGTTTGTTAATAAACAAAACTAAAATGTGTAGTAAAGAATATATTGATGTTGTTTTATTACAAAAGTCCATACAAAAACACACGCCCACTTGAACAGGTTTGAAAAATCATTTAAATTTTAAAAAACCATGCTTCAGTGTCTCTGTCATCGCACAGTTTCATTTAATTAAAACTCACAAAATAAATGATCGGATAAATCACTCAAAATAAAGCACGAATGACGATCTCGATTGTTAATCTTTCTATTTAGAACGAATACGAATGATCAAGAGATCGATGATGCGCATGCTCAGTAATAATAACAATAAAATCTTCTTCACTCCCTCCCAGCAGAAGATGGGGTCCACTAATTGGATGATAGCAGCAGAGCCACGCCAATCAACATCAATCAAACTCCGCCCCACTGTTGTAAATATATTGCAACTACTGTACTGTAGAGGCGATAACGTGGATTTTGGATGAACCACGAGTAACATATTTGTTCGGTTTAAGCACCGTGTGACTTGTAATAAGCATATCTAAGAATAACAATGTATAACAATGTTTTTAGCTTATTAATTTGGGCTTAGGGAATAATCCATGACTCATTATTTCATGTCAAAATTTTAGGTGCACTGTTAATCCGCAAATTATATAAAACGCACGTGGATAATCGAGAGTCTACTGGATACGTAGCAATACAATGGGCTGCCCAAACAGCTTATGTTTGGCTTGGTGAGTTAGTGAGTGAGCGAGTGAGTGAGTGAGTGAGCGAGTGAGCATGCAAGTGAGTGAGCGTGGAGTGTGTGAATGAGTGAGCGTGGAGTGTGTGAATGAGCGAGTGAGCGCGTGAGTGACAGCGCGAGTGACTGCATGGGTGGGTGTGCGAGTGACTTGAGTGGGTGGGTGAGTGAGTGAGTGCATGAGTGAGTGTGCGAGTGACCGAGGGATCGAGCGAGCGACCCGTTTCCCGTGGCTTGACCTGCGCGAGCAGTCCAGACGTGCCGCCCCCGGGAGGGATGCCCCTTCTCCAAGCTGCTGTCCCTCGAGACGACCGCGGCGATGTGCGCCGACGCCTTCGGCCTCACCCAGCAGGATATGGAGCGCGGAGTGGAGTCCACCAATCGCATGTTCGGAGGCGATCGCCCCACGGGGAGCCGCCTGCTCTTCGTCAACGGTGAGCCCCGGGCGGTGATTTCGGCTCGCCGCGGTGGCTAGATAGACGTTGTCTCCCCCCTCCCCCCGGGTACGCAGGAGGTCGTGGGTTAAAACCTGACGATTCCTGCTGCTGCTGTATATTTGGAGTCCGCGCATCTCTGTCTCTCCCCATGGTGATCACTGCATTAATTGCTCTTCCTCCAGCTCCTCCGATTTTTTCCCCTCCACATTGAGCGTCAATGAGAGCTATTTGGCCGCTGCTATGGAGTTTCACGTGGTGATTATGATGATGATACACTTCGTTGAGCTATAATTTGTGATGGCCAGGTCCCTCCTGAAAATGAGCCACAGAGCTCAGTGGGCCTTACCTGGTCATTCTTTTTTTTCACGAGGTCGTGGGGTCAGCTTCGATCGTTTGGGATATTGAATCGGTCACTTAACCACCAACTCACCCATTCACTCACACACTAACTCACCTACTCACTCACCTACCCACCCACCTACCCACTCACCCTCTCACTCACCCACTCACTCAACTATTCATTTAACCACTCACCCACACACTCAGTTGCCCACTAACATACCCACTCACCCACGCATTCACTCACCCACTCACTCACCTACTCACCCACCCAGTAAGCCACTCACCCACTCACTCACTAATGCACTCATTTACCCACTCACCCACCCAGTCACGCAACCACGCATTCACTCACCCACTCGCTCAACCACTCACTCACGCACTCACTCACCCAGTTACCCACTCACTCACCCACCCACTCATTCATCCACCCACTTACCCTCTCACTCACCCACTCACTCAACCACTCACCCACCCACTCACTCACCCGCTCACTCACTCACCCACTCATTCACCCACTCACTTACTGACTCACCTACCCACTCACTCACTCACCATACTGTGTGTGCGTGACATCACAGCGGCATCCGTAGGATTGACCGGGGCAGGCCAACCGGACCCTAACCACGAACCTCTGCACCTGACCCCTCCCGATCCCCTTCTCCCATCCCCCGCCGTGTGTGCAGGGGACGTGGACCCCTGGAGGGAACTCAGTGTGGTGACCCCCTTCAGGGGATCCGCGGTGAAGACTCTGACCGTGAGGGGAGGGGCACACTGCTCCGACACCAACCCCAGCCTCTCCCGGGACCCTCCTGCACTCACGCAAGCCAGGAAGGTGGGGAGAGGGGGAGGAGAGGGGGAGTGGCAACGTGGAACGGGGGGTAGGAGGACGGGGTGGAGGAGGAGGAGGCAGGATGAGCCTTACATAGATACAAACCTAACTAAAACTATTCATAATAAAGGTTTTTGGGTTAGATCGCGTTTATTTATAAATGTGTCGTAACCCTCCACCACCCGACACGGCCAATCAGCAAAAAAAGGTGTCACGTTGACAAAAAGACAAATAATTCACTACTTTAGCCCACCGGTGTGTTGTACTCAAACTGTAAATGTGGATTCGCTCTTCAACACACCCGTGGGCTAAAGTAGTGAATTATTTGTCTTTTTGTCAACGTGACACCTTTTTTTTTGCTGATTGGCCGTGTCGGGTGGTGGAGGGTTACGACACATTTATAAATAAACGCGATCTAACCCAAAAACCTTTATTATGAATAATATTGGTCGCGAAAGCCTACATGTTAAACTAACTAAAACTAAACAACTTTTTTTATTTTACCAGATAAGGCCCCACTGAGCAGTTTAGCTCTTGTTTTCAGAAGCGACCTGGCTATCACAAATGATAGGCCGACGAAGTCACTGATATCATCATCATCACGTGGGAATTAAATAGCTAATAGCAGCAGCCAAATCCCATGATGTAGCTGCCCACCCCGAGCTCTCAATGTCCTGATAGTGCATTGTCTTTGTGCTGTTCGCCTTTTGGCGTCCTCTGGTCTAACACCGTTTGAGACGAGGCTCTAGAGAAAGCTGTCTCTGGTGTGGACCAATCAGTTTCAAAGACAATGCATCATATACTACCAGCAGGGGCGGAGCGACAGGGGTGACATTCTGCGTATAAGTGTACGACACTCGGTCTGGCGGACTCCGTGCAACTGCATTGTCAGAGTGTGTCGCCAACCGATGGCGTCTAGTTCAACAGCCTCTCTAATCATCCTTTAAATTAAAATTTGTTGAATGTCACCCCGGCCTGAAATCCCGGCTCCGCCCCTGACGTTTACCAGAGCGTGTGTTTTGTTTGCACGTTCGCCACAAGTATCTGTGGTTAATGCAGTACATGATTCCCCGCGAAAGGTTTCAGTTTGGTGTTTTAACATCTTAACACCTCCTTTTTTATTGCCAGCAAGGGTGAAGCCTATTCCGATAGCCAAATACTCTAAACGCATGTTTCTACTGACTCCTGGAGACCCGCAGAGATCCAGAGACCCAAATGGAACCATAGGGACTCACAGAAACCTACAGAGACCCATAGAGACACATACTCATCAGTTTCAGTTTATTTATTTTGGTATAGCCCTGTGAGCCATTCGGCTCTTGAATCGGGTGCAACCGCAACAAACAAAAAAACCAAAAACACGAACAAGAAAAACATCTTAAAGTGACTTTGTGCGACTGTGCAAAAACAGAAAATCCATGAAAAAAACAGCAAAATGAAAGAAAAAAAACAGCAAAATGACCCTTATTAAAACCGCATGCCACCGATCCGCAGCGGGAACCAATTTGAGGCTTAGTCGACCTTGTGGAGGCCCACACACAAGCTCGTGCTCTCTCTCCCCCTCTCTCTAGGCTATCGGGCAGCAGCTGGAGGCCTGGCTCCGGATGTCACGCGACCTCTGAGCTGGGAATTCATCGCAGGGCAGCTCGGCCCTGATTGGCCGACGGGGAGGGTGATCACGTGACCTTTGATCTGTGACGTCAACCGCAGGGCAGCTCGGCCCTGATTGGCCGACGGGGGCGGGGGGGGCAGTCATGTGACCTCGACTCAGATTGCCGAGGGACCTGCGAGCAAATGGCGCCCCGTTCCCACCCCTCGCCATTCCCACCGGGAAACTTCCCGAATCGGCTTCCAACCAGGCTGGGAGCTGCGGTGAGTCGCAGGCAAAGCTGTGGAGCTGCTTGGTGCTGAACCTCACCCCCCACCTCACCCAACTCTCTCTCCTCACCTCACCCAACTCTCTCTCCTCACCTCACCCAACTCTCTCTCCTCACCTCACCCCATCCTCTCTCCTCACCTCACCCAACACTCTCACCTTACCTCACCCAACCCACCCAACTCACCTCACCTTACCTCACCCAACCCACCCAACTCACCTCAGCTCACCACCATCCCCACCGCTACCGCCCTGCTTCACGCTTGAAATAACATCGCGATTCCTGCCGAGGGTACTTCCGAACCGGTTTTAACCGGTTTCTCGGGTATCTGGTTTGATAAGGTGCCTTAAATTAAACGCTGCTAGAATCTTCGCTTCCAGTCAATCAAGGGGGGGAGGGGAGGTGGAGGAGTGGCAGGAGAGGCAGGAGGAAGAGGCGGAGGAAGAGGTGGAGTGTGATAGGGTAAGGAACTTGGCGGCTGTGCAAGTGGCTGTGATTGGCTCAATAAACGCGCCTGTAGCTGCACCATCGCCGTCTCCCTCCGTCTCTCCACACGCGCGGGCGTTTGCCGCTACGGAGGCAGCCGTGTTTGGCTTCCAACTGCACCACTGCGCGGATATAAGGGGGTCGGTGAGTGGGTCGGTGAGTGAGTGGGTCGGTGAGTGAGTCAGTCGGTGAGTGAGTCAGTGAGTGGGTCGGTGAGTGAGTCGGTGAGTGGGTCGGTGAGTGAGTCGGTGAGTGGGTCAGTCGGTGAGTGGGTCGGTGAGCGGGTCGGTGAGTGGGTCGGTCGGTGAGTGAGTCAGTGAGTGGGTCGGTGAGTGAGTCAGTGAGTGGGTCGGTGAGTGAGTCAGTGAGTGGGTCGGTGAGTGAGTCGGTGAGTGGGTCGGTGAGCGGGTCGGTCGGTGAGTGGGTCGGTGAGTGGGTCGGTCGGTGAGTGGGTTGGTGAGTGAGTCGGTGAGTGAGTCGGTGAGCAGGTCGGTGGGCGAGTCGGTGAGTGAGTGAGTCGGTGAGTGAGTGGGTTAATGAGAGTCCGGAAAAGATACCGCCTCAGTGGTTGCTGGACGATAGCGCTGTGGAGTTTGTGAACAATGCCATGGGGGGGAGGAGGAGGAGGGAGGAGGAGAGGGGGAGGAGGAGAGACTGTTCCCCTCATGGTGCTCGTAGCCACCATGGAGGCTATGGACGGGTGCAAGGGGCCAGTGACCCCTGCAACTTCAACTCAATGACCACGAAACCCAGTAAAAAATATCGAACTAAGCTTGTGCCGGAGGCCCCGCGGGGGGACAGGTGCCTATAACGTTTCCTGGCCCATCCAGATTTTGCAAAGCCAGGGAGACTCAACCCGTATGCTTGGGGTTCCTCCAGAAATGGGAAAAGGCCACTGCAAGTGGCCATTTAAAATGTTTTAATGCTTATTGCGGAGATGAGGCTGCCACTCCTCTGTCTGGAGCTGGACTGGTACCGCCTGGATCTTTGTGGTATTCATGAGATCCGGTGGACCAGTTCTGGCACCAGTCACCAGGAAACTGCCAAACAAGAGGGAATGGCTCTTCAACTGAACAAAATAATGGAGGTATGGGAGAATGGTGGTGAGGTGTGAAAAGCTGTGAGTTCCACGATAATTTGGGCTTATCTTCTCATCAATGGGCGGCAATGAATGGTGGTGGTTGGTTATGCTCCAACCAAATATGAACATCAGTGGAAAGATACAGGCAAGGCTGATAAGTCAGGTGCCTTCCATGACATCCCGTCACAGGTGCTAGCAATATTGGCCCCTTGGGATAGACTCATGCTGTTCAGTAACTTTCATGCCAGAGTGGGTCATGATGGTGGCACCAGGGCTGGAATGATTGGAAGACAGATAAGCTCAATAACAATGGTTGAATACTGCTAGACTTATGTGCAGTTCATAGGCTTCTAATTACAGCTGTTCCTGCATCGGCGCATCTACACAACATGATCGATGCATGCCGGGTCCAATCAAGAACATCTGCTGGACTACATTGTTATGGAACAGTGGATGTGGGCCATGTTCTTGACACCAGGACATGGAGCTGATCTGCCCACTGATCATAGGGTTGTCATCTGTAAGATGTGCCTGCCATTCTTCCACTACAGTGGTGGGTGACCATTTAGGACCCCATTCAACCCCACAATGGCTTGGTAAAAGCTAGCTGATAAGAGTTGCAAGCGAGAATTTCATCATCGCTCACAGCTGGGTTTGGCACCGTTCGCCCTCCTCTGGATGCCGAGGGGAAATGGGTGAGGTTAACGACTGTGGCTCATGCAGCTAGAAAGGGTGCTTTGGGTATGCCGTCCAAACCTCCCCAGAGACTCTGGCTGATGGAGGAGGTGGTCTGGCTGGCTGAGAAAAAGCGATAGGCCCACTCCCACTATCCTACTCACATTCCATGTCCCTGACTGTAATCTCCTCATTCGCCATTCTCAGCCTCTTCATTGTTTTGGAATATGGTCGCTTTGTTTCCTAATGGTGTAATAGCTATTGCTGCTGCTGCTGATTTCCAGTAGCTAACGTTGGACCTTCGTTGACCCAAGCAAAGTCTGAGCCGGTATCCTTCCTTTTTCTCCTGTGATCGTCAAGAGCCGAAGAATCAGCACCCTTTTTGCCCAACCCTCCTCTTTTTTTATCCAGGCTTGGGACTGGCTCATATATCCACCTGATTGTGAACTCCAGAGGTGGAGTCGACCCCTTAGCCAAAGACAAGGATCCGCCGTGTAGCCTTAACAGACTTGGGGCACTCCAGTTAGTAGCGAGCAAAACCTGTGGAAAGCCGGCACTGTGGCACACGAAGGGGTGGGTGGCCAGCGACCACACCCAGCCGTCTTTCTCGACCTAGGGGGGAGGCCCAGGGCCATGAGCAAGGAATAGAAATTGTGTAGCACAGCGCTAACCACAAGACCACCGCTCCCCACACAACAATCACCAATCCCCACTAAGTGGCAGTTATATCACCATGGCACTTGTGCCAGGAGATATTATAGATGCCTGTCCCCCCCCCCCCCCCCCGGGGGCCTCTGGCCCAAACTTAATTCGATATTTTGCACGTGTTTTCGAGGTTATTAAATTAAAGGTGTTGTAGGGGTCACCTGCCCCTCGCATCCGTCCAGAGCCCCTATTGGTCGCTGTGGTGGCTACGAACGAGCGCCACGAGGGGAACAGCCAATTGAATGGACCTTCTCTCCATGGCATTGCCCATAGCCCCTACAGCGTTATCGTCAGACACCACACTCACATATCTCAACGCCAGACATTTGCCAACTAAGCGATGGTGACGTCACCATGGCGCCTGCGCCAGGCCAGGTGCACTTTGAGGTCACGTGAAGTGTCAAAGGCTCGCGGACAGGAGGTCACGAGGTAAACCCAGGTGTTCATGGGTTGACTGACTGAGGTGACTTGCGTGCCACTCACACACCCCCATACCCACCCACATAACCACGCACATAACCAAAAAGACAAATGTAAAGATCCCCCATATAGCCTGAACAGACTGTAGGGGCAAGTGCTGTTCGTGAGCACCAATGAAAGCCAGAACGGCACACGAGGGGGTGGGTGGCCAGCACCACCCCCGACCGCCTTTGTCTCCCCAGTGGTGATGTTTACACACCAGGTACTCATTGAGGCCGAGTCGACCTAGGGGAGACCCGAAACCGATTCAGATAAAAGCTAACCACTACACTTGGAACTCAAATATCCACTCACAGACCCACTGATATGCCAACGCACTCGCCAAATCACCCAATGCTCTCATGCAAATGAGGCTCCTTAGGACCTGTCCTCCCTCCCCCGCACGTAAGAATGATCTCACTCAACACAACACCCGTTCCCCATCCACCTGCCCATCTCCACCCACCCACTCCCACCCACCTCCACCCACCCCCACCTATTCATGCGAATGGGGTCGCCCACTTCTGTGCTCGTAGTCCGGTCTGACGGAAAAGTCCAGTAGGTGGCGGGGGTGGGTAGGTGATGTTTGTGTGAATATTTTCAATAACCAGAAAAGCTGCACGTGGTCGCGGGAGGTTTTTTTTTTGGAAATCCCCTCCTAAACGCTGCTCAGCATGTGAGCGCCTTGCTACTGAGAGGCAGGTGAGTGGTGGGCGCATGAGTGAGGGCGGGTAAGATTGAGTGAGAGTTGGGGGTTCTGGTCACATGTGGCTGATAAAATGTGTAAAATAATAACACTTGCATTGAGATTCCTAGCCCATGATATGTGGCAGTTTATCCAGTCTCAGAGTGACTCTGTGGGTCTGATTGAGTCTATGGGTCTCTCTGAGTCTGTGGGTCTCTATGTGAGTCTATGGTTCTCTGTGTGAGTCTGAGTCTGTGCGAGTCTATGGGTTTCCGTGTGAGTCTATGGGTCTCTGAGTCTATCAGTCTCTCTGTCTGTGGGTCCCTATGTAGTCCATGGGTCTCTGTGTGAGTCTGTGCCTCTGTGTGAGTCTGTGAGTCTCTGTGAGTCAATGGGGCTCTATGTGAGCGTGTGTCTCTTTGTGAATCTATGGCTCTCAATGTAAGTCTATGTGTCTCTGTGTGAGTTTGTGAGTCTCTGTGGGTCTGTGCCTCTGTGTGAGTCTGTGGGTCTCTATACAAGTTTATCGGTCTCTGTGTGAGTCTATGAATCACAATATTATTCTACGTGTCTCAGTGTGAGGCTGTCTCTATGCGAGTCTACGGGTATTTATCTAAGTATACGGGTCTCTGTGTGAGTCTATGAGCCTGTGTGAATCTATGGTTATGTATGTGAGTCTATACGAGTCTATGGGTGTCTGTGTGAATAAGAAGGCTTACCACAGCCTTCAATCAGAGGTTCGGAGAGCTGTGTGCCACTGCAAGGATGAGTGGTGCTTACTTATTGCTGAGCAAATGGAAGCTGCCTCAGTCACCTGCGATGTCAAGTCACCATCCTAAGGGGAAAGAACTGTGATCCAATCTTCGACCCCCAGGAACAGGTTTGCAGATTTGCTGAGCATTTC